TTGCTGGGCTATTTGGGAGATTTCTTCCCCCTAAAGTGGTGGTGGTGGTAGTGATGATGATGATGATGATGCAAACTTTGGCACTTCACCTAAGCCTGCTGAACATGGGTGCTACTATTTTGTCTACATAAGCAATCACACTGTCACTGGACATTGGAAAGTGGACCATTGGACACTGAAGAATGACAAAAAATATTATTGCCTGGACACTGGAAATGGAGAGAATGATGCCAGGCTCATGTTTCACATGTTGTCTCAGACCATCAACTCTGCTGATCCTCCTGGTGGCAGCCAGCAACCTTGTCCTGGCTGCCAGGTATCCCTGCATCCTTGTGCAGACTTGTCCACCATGTTTGTTCCCTTGTGGCTGGCAAGTTTGACAACATGCATGAATAACACTGTAAGGAAACATGGTAGCTGATCCTGCTGGACCCAGGACTGGTAGGAGTAGCAGAGGAAGTCTTGAATAGGGCCAAGAAGTGGGGGTGCAGGGAGGGTTCAGCAAACCTCTCTTGTCAAGGGAAAAAAGAATTGCAATGAAGGCATGTGGGCAGAAATCAGAAACATTGTAGAGATAAGACCTAAAGGGGACAGGGACTCAATGCAGAATAATACAATATAATGCAACTGACTTAATAAGTTCAAAATTAATATCCATTCCTTCTTAGGAAGCAATTGGATAAAATTGTGCTTGCTTGCTTACTTCTTCAGAAGGGCTAGTGACTGACTTCTTTAAATAAAAGTTGAACTTATAGTGAAGAGACTGGAATATCCCTCAAGGGAAGAGGGGAAGATAGACCTTCACAGGGTCCTTTTTAACTGCAGTACTACTTGTGGATTATTTGAAAATGCTGGGTTAAATGGTCAGCTTTTCCATTCCCCCAGTTACTGGCTTGAGGGTTGCTCTCCTGGTTACTCACTGAGGGAAGCAATGAGCAGCAGTCAGAACCCATTCAGAGTTGATGAGAGTCCCACCACAGACATGTTTCCTGTTGTACTGGAGGCTGACTTGCCATGGCCATGCACCGCGAGCAGCATCCTCTCCCCCAACAATACGACTCTGGGCCGGCACCTGGCCACACACTGCCAAAACAAACATGAGAGAATACTAGAAGTTGCCAGAAAACCAAAGATACGACCTCTGATCACAGGGTTTTAACTGCTTTCCAAGGGAAGCCCTGCACCCTAAAAGGTGAGCTAGAAATCAGCAAGAGAGGAGAAGTAGGACTGGCTAGTTTCCATGAAGGCTTCCTTGGGGCACCATCTGGGCTGCTTCTCTTGGTATGCAACACTTCTACAACACCAAACTCTGCCCAAAGCCAGGCACATGCCCAGAGTTGGGAAGAGCTGCTGCTCCTTCCAGAGCTGGCCAAGTCCCTTTCTCCCTGCCAGGAGCAACCTGATGACATCCAGTAATGACATCCAGGCTGTGGATAGGGAGCATGACAGCTCTACCCATCCACCCACCCATCCGAATTTGTTCTACACCCCAGCTAGGCATAGAGCTCTCCCAAGTGCCATATTTGGTGCAACACCCCTATTTCTGCAAGACCTTAATAGAACAGAGAAGTTGGGGCTGGAGCTAGTACAAAGTGCATCAGCTCAGCTTTGCCAAAGGAGCTGCACTGGCTACCTCCTCACTACTGGGCTAGGTTTAAGATTCTAGCATTAACATGCAAAGATCTAGCATTAAAGCATGCAAAGGTTCTAGCTTTGACATGCAACCTGGGACTGCAGTACCTAAGACAGCATCTTCTCCCTTAGCAACCTGCCTGCTAATCAAGGGACATTTTCCCAAGGGTTCCACATGGCCTGGCTGGAGCTCACCAAGAGAAGACCCGTTGGTGTGGTAACCCCTTTCTGTGGAATTCCCTGCCCCTGGAGGTCCTAGGCAGGCACCAATACTGCAATGCTTTCAGTGCCTGAGAAGACTGCCTCATCCCAGGAAGGCTTTCTTGCTTACCAGGCACAGTTTTAATGTTACTTTGCTTTTAATGCCTTGTTTTCATGTTTATGTGCTTTAGCTTTGCGCTGCTCACTTCTCAGGAATCTACCTACTTATGGAGCTGTAGACAAAATGGGAATAAGAAAAGAGACCTTATTTTATGAGGTCTTAGAAACATGGTCCTCTTAAACAAAAGGCATGTGTTTGGTGGAGAGGAAATACCAGTCTCCTGTCTGGCAGAAATAGCACAAACACCTGCTTCAACCAATCGCATTGTTCCTGACTCAAACTAGCTTTAAAAAATTGCAGTCTATAAATCTGGTGCACAGATTGTAAACTCAAGAGGGCACTGCTGAGGTTTAAATGAAGATACTACTGCATGTGTATTGTTAGGGCTGCTTTTTTCACACATTTCCAGGTTGTGAAGTAGGGAAAATTCACAAGCAGTGTTCCCCAGCACAGCTGCTACCATTAGGGATGTACATTTGAGAAGGGGGGCTAAATCCGTTCCATCTGTATTGCATAGTTTATTGGGCATTTGCATTTCAATTGCCTGTTTAGTGACAGAATCAGATTACTTTTAGGAGTGGGACTTTCCCTGAGAAAACCCCCTTCTTGACATTTGATGTCTAGCTGCTTACCTGTCTGAGTGCCATTTTCCATATTTCCTAAAAATGAATCAGAGAAAAAACAGGAATGGTTAATGGGAAGCCATTTCCAAAGCAAACTTGGAAACATAGAAGTTGCATAGCAGAATCATTAACTGACGAGCAAGCTGTTGTGAGGCTGGCGCTCCGTCCCAATGAAAGCCACGAACCCGGTTGTCGCTACTAAAATCTTTATTCTACATAAAATTATCGATTACAGCCACGAGAGATGATGCTAATGATGATGATGAAGTTGTCCTCTCTTTCTGAATGAGATCAGTTCACGGGATACTTTTAACTCTCCTGGGCCGTCCCTCGATGGGCACTGTCTTGTCTCCAATTGCCCTAATCTGCATGTGCATCTGCGAGAGCGCGCATTCCCCAACTCCCCTCCTGATTCAAGGTTGACTCCCGCATTCTCAAGACCATTATCAGCAGATGCCTCAACCGTTCCCTCGGCAACCTCCCGACTGACCTCCGACTGCTGTACACTTTCGGTTTCTCCCTGAATCCTATCCTCCTCTGCACCCTCTTCCCTTTGAAGAGCGCCATCAGGGAGTAAGGGGGGCGTTTGAACCACTGGCACCAAATATACATCTTCCTGCAATGAAGTCTGGTTCCCACGGGAAGTCTCCCTCTCCTCCACATGCGCCAAAGACTCTTCTGAGTCAGCTCACATGACGCAAGCCTCTTTTGTAGTGTTAGATTAATAGAGCCACCTTCTAAAAAACATATTTTTATTCCCAAGTAATTAAACAGGTTTTATATTGATTCAAGGTTTTTATATTGATTCAGTGCTTTAAACAATCATTTCATTACTCTATTTGTATTATGGTTTAACAGTTAAACCATTTATTATCAATGGACAAAACTATATATCAGCAGGGGGGAACCCCACCCTATCCAGCTCTCCATGGGCTGAAGGACATTAAGTGTCCTCATCATGCCCCTGATATCAGGAGTGTGTCCAAACTCAGTGATGTCATTTGGTCCCTGGTTACCCTTTGGGAATCATACTGGTCTTCCTCAGTAACCACTGCATTCAGCATGCCACAGAGGAACCGAAGCACTGCAGTTCCTTGGCAGTCATGGCCATATTTGCTGCAAGGAACCAAACAAATGCATTCTCAAGTGGTCCAGTTAAGAGACACTCACCACTCTGAACTTTGTTTTCCAGGACACCTGAGCAAAGAATAAAAAGGTGATGTCGGCAGCAAAGTTGGAGAACCAGATGATTAGGTTATAGGGAAGAACCAGGAAGAGAAACTGAACAAAATCTAAATTGGGATGGGGGGAGTGGAATGTAAACAGAAAGTGCACTCTGGGTCATAAAAGCCAATGTAGTTAAGTCAGGACTGGATTTAGGTGCAGCTACGCTGGGACTCCAGACTCCATGGGAGGTTGGAGTAGAGTATCTGCTCTACTAACCAGGCAAAAGCTGAAACAAATATTACAAATAGTTCACCTTCTCTTCTAAAACAGGCAACTCATTTCTTGTTTGCCCACACAAAAAATGATAACCTGTGTTATTGCTTGCAATCAGCTCAGCTTACAACACTTCATCATCCTTTAAGACAGAGAAATCAGACATGCCAGCTTTCACCAACCTGGTGCTCTCCAATGATGGTGGACGACAGCTTCCCTTGGCTTCAGCCAGCATGGCCAATGGTCAGAGCCATGAGGAGCTGTGACCTAAGATGGCTGTAGGGCACCAGACTAGGGAAGGCTGATGTATGCAGGCCTGAACTGTAACATGAGCTAGAAATGCAATTTAAAGTAAGATTTTAAGGCATTCCTGCATTGCTTTGGTTCGTTTAGCCAAGCAATGCCTACACAGGGGCTGGGAACTACCCAGCTGTAGGTTCCATGTTCATAGCCTGCAACTGTGCATTTTCCACTGATTGGAAAGCCTAGAGGGCAATCTTTTATTTGGTTTTAATTAGGATATAATTGTCCTACAACATATAGGAATTCACACACCCCCTTTTCAACATACAGAAAAATTGTGCAAGCGTGTTCACTGGACTGAGCAGTCTATCCCCACCACACTTATGCTTCTCCTGTCTGCATGGATGGCCAACATCTGAAGGGCTTCTATTTGTGTTCTAATAGAAGCAAGCAGAGTTACTCTGCTTTTGGGGGGAGAGGGCACTTGATTGGTCCAGTTCCCCCACCTCATCCCTGCACATCAGCACACGCATATTGTCCCTTTGCAGGTGAACTGAATATGTGCATATTAGGAGACACTGACCAAGTGGCCCAATGTCCTATTATACAGAAGTCAATCCTCTATTTGAAGTGCTGACAAAGAACAGTCCTCTAATTAAAGAGATCCTCTATCCAATAGAGTCTACTGGAAGGGTGGTCCAGTTCAGATCTGGTGTAAAGTAGAGGCACTCCAAGGAAGGAGAGGAGGGGAGCCTTGCAGATTCCAGACTGTACAGACAGTCTTCCTCGGTAGGGTAAGATGTTCTACATTTCTGTATGTGTTACATTTCCTTCTAAATTCGCACCAGGGCTTATGTAGTCACATGTGCCTATGTTGTGTAAACTAGTGTCTTCTTTTGTCATCTTCATGGGCCCTTTGTATGGGGCCACGCTAGGGAAGAGGCAGCACTGACCCATGGCAAAGCTAAGCCTGTCCTGTGTTCTTTCAATGTGCGGTGCGTTTGCATCTGTTTGGTGGGGGTGGGGGGGGGCAGGGCAGGGGTCTTCTGAACCTCTAGTATATTATCATCAGATCAAAACACACCTCATCACTTTCCGTGAATGAAATGTGAAGAGGCAGACTGCAAACCTCACGGTGGCTAAGGGCAATACTAAACATGTGCAATAAACATGTTCCTTTTTTAACAGGTTTACAACTGAAGTATTTGCTTACGCAAATGAGACTTGCTTCAGGAGCAGGAAGCTGAACATTTTCAGCAGGGCAGGAAAAAACCAGTTATCAAGACATTCCCATCAACCAAAACAGGACCAAACAGAGGCAAAAGATTTTATCTAAGCTCAGCTCACTAAATCAATGGGTCAACTTAGTTTCCACTAAAATAAAAGGGACTGATGTCATGATTAAGTGCCAGCACCAGCACAATCCTGTACAGGTACAAGTAAGTCCTATTTGACAACTGAAAGGCAGTATGGTGTGGTGGCTGGAGTGTTGAATCAGGGAGATTGGGGTTCTAGTCTCACCCAGCCATGAGCCTTCCTGGGTGACTCTAGGCCAATCGCTCACTCTCAGCCTAACCAACCTCACAGGTTATTTTTGTGAGTAAAATAGAGCTACGGAAGTCAGCTTCATTTCATCACAAGAGGAAAAGGTGGGATATAAATGCAATGTAAACAAAAATAATTCCAGATAAGGGACTATAGGATTGCAGCCCTATTGATATCTCCCTCCCCCCCCCCACCACTTCTCAGGGATGGACACCAGAAAATATGGTACCTCCCTAATAAATGGAAAGGGCTGGAATATTCACAGGTGAGGTCAACCTGTATCTGCATTGCATCACTTCAAACTGGAGGAAGGAGCCCTCTAAGCTACAATTATTCTCACGGAGATATCACTTTCTATGTATAGAGACTCAATGATTGATTGGTTGGTTGGTTGGTTGGTTGGTTGATTGATTGATTATTGTAGAGGGATAGTCAGTCAGTTAACTCTCACTTGCAGTCAGAAGTGGCACAGTCCAGGCATAGATTAATCAGCTGTCCTACTATTTCTAAGACCCAAACCATGGATAAGTGGGACATGTGGTCTTCCAGATGTTGTTGGACTGCTGCTCCCATCATCCCTGACCAGAATAGCCAATGGTAAGGAATTGAATGGGAATATTCAATAACATGTGGGAAATCACACACATTCCCCATCCTTGCCTTGGATTAAGCTCCGCACACCACCCATGGGGATCAAAGAGTCACCCTCACGAAGTCATAGAGTCACTATTTACATTTTATCTTTTGATTGCCTCATGTACTTGGTCAGATAACTTTGATTATTGATCTAAAAGTACAACAAATACAGAAATAAATACAATACATTCAATGGACCTCTTTTCTCAGGCAGGTTTGGAAGGGAACAGGGTGAAGCAGCAGGGGAAGGAATTTGGCTTCCAAAGTCTTTTCTTTTTTAAGAGCAAAATACAATCAGGGATCTACCAACAATTCTTGCTGTGAATCCAGCAAGAGAAAGGGGACTGATCTAGATCAGTGACCTGAATGGAAGGAACCCCAATATCTGTCACACACCTCATCCAATCCCAATCTACCTGGACGCTACGCTCAACCTCTGGGGCCTTCCTCTGGGTGCCAACCCTTTCACAGGCTTTGACAGTGGCAACTGGGACGCAGGGGGGTCCTGTGATGGCTCCTCATCTTTGAAACAACCTCCCTGCTGCGGCCCCCATGGCCCCAACTTTGCCATCTTTTCAGTGCCAAGTTAAGACAACTCTCTCTGCAGAAGTCATTCAGAGGCCTGGCACAATTAGCCAGGTGCCTTTCTTTTATTCTTGGCTGGGTCTTTTTTATTGTCTTTCTTTGCCTTTATCTTCCTTTTTAATGCTTTTATACTATTTTAAATTAATTTTAATTCTTGTCACTATTTTAATCTATTATATGTCATTGTTTTGTACTTTTTTGGAAACCACCCAGAGAACTTCGACTATGGGCAGTAGGGAAATGAAATGCATTAAATAAATAATTTCCCAGGCCATGCTTTCCACAAAGGGAGGGCGTGTCCAGCTCATGGTGTCAAGCCAATGTGGAAGCATCACAAACTGCCACAGATGAGCTATGGCCACTGACCGCAATCTACTTCTCATGGCCTCAGGGCTGAACTTGATGTGGCACAGGCAATGTGCATCACGCAGCCACTTGGCTGCTCTCAGCAGCTCACCTGTGTTTCTAGAACAGAATGATCCTGATATCCATGTTACGTTGTGGGTTTTTCTATATGGGACTTTTATTGTGCATTTGTCACTAATGGTTTGTTCGGGGTTCTTTAGACAATGTTAGGGCTACCTAGCTTTACTTCTGTGTCTAACCAACACTTTCAACAACTTTTTAATTTAATTTTATTTTATTGCAAAGAAAGTATAGCATATAATTGTGAAAGTAACAGTAAGTGTCATTTCCTCTTGTGTTTTTCCATTATTATGCTATATTGCAGTTCTGCCTAGAGGCTATGCAGTGGGGAAAACAGGAAATAAAATCCTGCTTGTGTTTTGCTATGTTCTCAGTTCTGTGATGAAACAGAAAGTAGATACAGCAATTTAACCACTGATTAGCAGCCTCATGTAGAAAAGCTCCATGGCTTGGTATCATTTCCAGGGGCATTCTTTGAAAGAAGGAAGATTGTTGTCTCCATTGGCCACTGCTTGTATCAAGATGATGCCTGAACTGCTGAATGCAATCAACCTATCATGTCTTTGTTTCATTTTTATTATTGCTGTTGTTGTTGTTGTTGTTGTGTTGTTATTTTTATATCCAACCTTTCTCCATCTCACAAAGAACCCAAGGCAGATGGTACCTTCCTCCTCTCCATTTTAGCCTAACAACAATCCTTGGAAACAGGTTGAGAGTCAGTGAGTGGCCCAAAGTCACTCACAGAACTTCATACCATGGGGACTAGAATCTGGATCTGAGTCCCAACTTTCTAGCCACTACTCCACTCTGGCCCCTCCAGTCCTCCAAAAGAAGCAGCAATCAGCTTATAATTTTAATAAAAACAAGTAACAATAGATTACCCATGCAATAACACTATATCACTAAACCGAGCTGTAAGCCATATATTTACTTGCATAACAAAAATACCCTTTCAGTTATGTGAAAAATGGTCACAATGGAGGTCAACCATTCCTTCCCTGGGAGGGAATTCCATGGACAGAGATGAGAAAGGCCTAGTTGACTGATAAAGGAGGGATGCTCTTGGTCCACAATTTAGGCTCTAAAGAGCTTTATGCTCTATGAACTTCACCCACACACATTTTCACCAGGGAACAAAAGACCCTACCAGAATGGAGGAGACTACCAGAAAGTTAAAGACCAGCTGGGAGAGAATCCATCTCAAGCAGTCAGGGACACAGCCAGATTGAGGCTTTTTTTCCCTTTCTTTTTAAATCTGGGACAAAGGACAAGGTGTGCCGGTGCAGAATGGAGTACTTCAGCACTTGTGATGGGAGGGCTGCCTCCCCTAGCAAGGGCAACATGCCAGCTTAAGGGAAGCCAGGCAGGCTTGGGATGGAAGGGGACCATTCCATCCCAGCATTCACCACCTCAGGGAGCTGCTTCACGCTGCCTAACAGGAGGGCCATTGGGTTCTTCCATTGGGCTGTACTGGAAGAATGGCAAGGAGGCTTTTAAGGTTCAACAGGTAGCATAGGGAACTTTCCCGGAGTCCAAAAGCTGGGGTAGTTTCTTGGGGCCATGCCAAGGCTTTTTGGCCTTTGGCTTGTTTAGAAGAGCACCAGAGATAATTGCCTTGGAGCTGCCTTTCTCAATCATGCTGTAGATAAGGGCTGCTTTTGCAGTGAGGAAAAAAGCTGTTTACCTTACTGAAGCCATTTCACTCCCAGAAAGGAGGGTGTGGTGTGAAGCTGTGTGCAAACTGACAGACTTCACAATAGTGAGGGAGAGGAACTTTATAAAATCCATGGCAGGAGGCCTTTTGTTCTCTCTCGGGAGAGGGATTGACCCA